AGGCAGAGCGGGCGGCGCTGGGGCACTGGTGGCGAGTGGCCCTCAGGAGCGAGAGGCCTGGGGCGAGCGGGCGGAACCGAACGTGGCCCTGAGAAGAGCGAGGCATCTGGGCAGCGCAAGGCCCAGAGCGGCACAAAGCCCGGGGCAGTGCTGGGCCCTGACGGCATTGGTCCTGCCTTGTAGCTGATGCAGCAGCAGACGACGGTTCTCTCCACCTCCCATGGCAGCTACCTGAGCCCAGGCGTCGCCTTCTCTCCTTGCCACATCCAACAGATCGGTGCTGTGAGTCTCAACGGGCTACCAGCCACTCCACTTGCACCAACGTCAGGTGAGGGCCTAGTATGGACCAGGAGCCGTCAAGTCTGTCACTACCAACAAACCTCCTGCCCCAGCACTCAGCATGGTGCTCATACAGGTAAAACAGTTCCCACATCCCCCCACGCACAGCATCTGGATTAGGCCACTCTTTTCTATCAACACAAACTCTGAGGACAGCAGTCCCTAGTTCTGTGCAAACTCCTGCAACCTCCCTGACACCCTCACATGTTCAGTACATATTTTCTTGCCCTATTGCTGTGCCTCTGCTGCAGTTTTTGCCTTTGTTATTGTAAAGAATGACCAAGTTCCCAGGATTGCACCTGACTCTTGACTACAGCAGTGCTATTATTCCTTGTCATCATCCCATGGTAATAATATCAGCAATAATGCATATTGGTTTTGAACACCTGTCAAGGCTGTATCATGCTAGGTGCTGTACAAACCTCCATATGCCACCTAGAAGGGATAACACCTTCATACACAGTAGTCTTGCCAGGTAGATGGAAGGAGAGAGTGCAGGCTTTGTGGGACCTTGACGGTCATGAGATGTCCTCTCCTTACTCTACAGGTCTACATTCACCACCTCTCCTGGGAACAGCAGCCATGCCAGGGCTGGTAGCACCCATTTCAAATGGATTCACTGGAGTGGTACCATTCCCAAATGGGCATCCAACCTTGGAAACAGTTTACACCAATGGCCTTGTGCCATACTCAGGTACGGAAAGCAGGAAAAGACGACATCCAGAGACCTCAGGAACTGCAATTAGATCCTCTTTTGTGGACTCCCCACACATAATACTTTTTCTAGCTCCTTACCAGCCAAGCACTGAGACTCACTTTGGTGGAGGTGGGGGGTGGTGTGGTGAGGGGAGAGAGAGAGAGAGAGAATACAGGAGTGATTGTCTTTGCTGTGCTTGTATGTTCTTCTCTGCAGCCCAGAGCCCTTCAGTAGCAGAGTCTTTGCATCCAGCTTTCACAGGAGTTCAGCAATATGCAGGTACCAGCTTCCCTTGTCTCCCTCAGGCCCTCCTGTGACTGACAGGATCCTCAGGTAAACAGTTGTTCTGTCTCCTTGGAATACAGCTGTATATCCAACCACCACCATCACCCCCATTGCCCAGACCGTCCCTCAGCCACCTCCCATTCTGCAGCAGCAGCAGCGAGAAGGTAAGGATCAGAGTGGGAATTGTGTCTGGCCAGGGGCCAGTAGTGTGGCATTTGTGCAGATCATCTTCTGCACCACAGAACCAAAAGGGAGGAGACACTACAAATCTTTGTCTAATCTTTAATATTGGAGCTGGGTTACAGAATGAACCATGTCTCTGCAGTGAGTGGACTGGAAGGGTTCTGAGGATGCTTGCTAAAAGAGCTCTTCCTCTCCATCTTTACTGATGCCAGAACCACACTGGTACCAGTCAAACCAGACTCTGACGCACTCTCCTCTCTCTTCAGCATTCCTAGCCTCATGAGTTTGTTTTTCAGCTTATTTAAAAATTGGCCTGGACAGAATTTGGAAGCAAAGCATCCTCTGTTCCTGCTTTGTACAGCAGGTGTCAGAAGGGGAACAGCTCCTTTTGCTCATCAGGTTCACAGAGAGCAAGTGAAGGAGTGGGCAGGACTACATAGCCCATAAATAGGCTATGTGGCAATCCAGCAGATTTCCAATTGGGGTTGTAGTTTACGACCTGAGGGCAACTGCTCCATAGCTGTGGGCAGAGAACTCCTAGTACTGGGATAACTATGAACAAGGAACTGTCATCTTCCAGCAAAACATCACCCAGCCATTCACAGAGTTGTGTCCAGCACACCATGTGGGAACTGGGCAAGATGTGAATCTGCTCTCCAGAAACTCTAGCTTTGCATATTGCCTCCCAGCTCTCATAGAGAGTCCCCAGAACCCTTTGTGGACCAGTGACCGAGAAACAATCAAGGGTAGGTCAAGACAGAAGGAGGCAACGCTGGGGTTCTCTACCAGTGCTGTGCTCTGAATTGAGCCCGTTTCTCTTCCCCTTTCCTTTGGGGGCTCTCTGTTTTGTCCCTCCCCATTGTCCCCATGCCTGCAGGTCCTGAAGGCTGCAATCTTTTCATCTACCATCTCCCTCAGGAGTTTGGAGACAATGAATTGATGCAGATGTTCCTGCCCTTTGGGAATATAATTTCTTCCAAGGTATTCATGGATCGTGCCACCAACCAAAGCAAGTGTTTTGGTGAGTGCTGATGACAGCAGGCAAGGGAAGCATGAGGGCTAATGGGGACACTCGTGCATTGGGGTTGGTACCAGCAGTGGTGTTATTATCCAAGCCTGTGTCCTGTCCTCCAGGTTTTGTAAGCTTTGACAACCCATCCAGTGCACAGACTGCTATCCAGGCCATGAATGGCTTCCAGGTTGGCATGAAGCGTTTGAAGGTCCAGTTAAAACGACCCAAGGATGCTAACCATCCCTACTGACAGCAGTGAGCAAACAGGAGTCACTTCTGCAGCACAGGTAAAGCTGGCACCATCACTGCACAGTGCTGGCCAGTGTCATGGAGCAGCAAGGCCTGGCTACAGGTCCATGGATAGGTGGAAACTGGTACTTCTGTGATATAGATCAGACAAGGACTGAGGGCATAAGCCTGAGCTGTCATGAGATTCCTGGGCCTATGGGCAGAGTGTGGGACAGAAGCTGCAGGTGAGGCTGGTCAAGACCATTAAGGCCTGTTAGTGTACTTAGGGCCTTGACTAGCAGATGGGTTCAAATTACCTGGTCTTAAGCAAGGTTTCACTCTACTTTCTGACCCCTCCCCAAAAACATTCATCTTCCTAAAAAGTTTTAAAAATCAACAGTTTTGTTTTCAATTGTTACATGTGCCCTGAAATTAGTCTACAGAGCATGATTTCCCAAGAAGGGACAATTATTCACAAGGATCACAGAAAAGCAGATAAAAGGTGTGACCTTGAAGGGCCACAGAAGAGCTACCTGTCCTGAAAGCTGGCTGTCAAAGAGCTACCTCCTACCAGCTAACAGACTGGGAGCAAGGGAGGGCTGATCTTGGGTCCCTTCTAATTAGGATCATCTTTCTCCATGTTTAAGCAACAGCAACTCAAAGCCTGAGGTCTGCATAGATGTCCTCCTAATCTCCCAATTCCATCCCTCCTTCCTTTCTATTCAGGTGAAGGGAAAGTCCAGAGGAAGAATTTCTGCTTCAGGTTGATTTACAGAGTGGCCAGTAAATTTATCAACTCTTTTGACACCACCCCTTTCCTTCCTCTGCTCCCCACCTACCCACTCCATCCTCCTTCTGCTCTCCTCCCCAAAATATGAAATTAAAGAGAAGGCTCAGTATCTGCCCAGCAGGAAGATTCTTGCCACGATGGACTCACATATTTGCTGCTATGGAAAAGGGACCAGAAAACCAGCAGCCCTTGGGGACCTGAAGCTTTTTCTCTCAGGCTATGCCTGGAGTACATGAACCAAGAAAACCCACTCGTGTGTTCTCTAGGTTACTGCAGTGATGTATGGAAACTTAGCTCCGTCCCCCGCTCCGTCCCTTCCTTCTGCCCTGTCTCCTGGACCTTACATAGATAAATATAAATATATATACAGTCTCTATTTTTTTTAAGTGGCTCACAGGACCAAACTTGTCCATTCAGAGACTGACTCCTTGCAAGAGGGATTGAAAGTTAAGGGTTTACATTTGCAATAATGTCTTCTCAGCAAGCATTGCAGATAGGCCTGAACATTTTGAGAGGATGCTTGAATGGACAAAGAGCAAGGGAGAGAGTGTGCATCTCTCTGCTCAACATTAGCAAGAAGCAAGGAGAAAGAGACCTACATACCTCCAGAATTAGGGCACAGCCAGCTGTTCAGCTCAAGTCACTCATCCACCAACCTCAGCCCCAGCCTGGCTAAGGATCTCAAGAGCTCTCAATCTTAACTTTTCCAAGGGCTTCCGCAGACAAAGCTCCTGGAATTTGGTGCCAAAGCCTATCCTGAACACTCCTCAATTAGGCTGAAAGCACAGGAAACCAATCCCTTTATCTACAGGAACTGTACTGCCTCCCCACACTTGGCACAGATCTGTGTTTCATAGCTCCTTATGGTAATGGAGCATTTCTTGATCAAGACAAAGTATGAGAAACTGAACAGATGCAAACTCCAAAACAAAGTGACAGAAGCCTTCCAGGGGCAATGCACTGCTTCCCTATGTCAGAAGTAGCATAAAGCCGGTTAGTGGGCAGTTCCAGTTCCCAGACAAAAGGGGACATTTTCTCCATCTGAATTTAGCAAGAGGACTTGTCTCTTACACTCTCTGCAAAGCTTTCCAAAGCAGACACAAGGGCAGTATGATGAATGAGCATTGTCATTTTGTTCTTTCCTCACCACCCTCTCCAAGGGACAGATTATGCTTTTATGCAGCATATATAGATACAGCTATTATACATATACATATTAAGCACAGAACATAATTCAAAGCTTGAACCATTCTCTAAGTTTCTACCAAAATAAGGAATGGAAGAAAAAATAACAAAAAAACCCTACTCCCCCGGCCCCCAACCTTCTGCATTATTAGTTACAATATTCCAGGATTTGAGACGGTACCAAGAACATTCCCGTGTGTGTGTGTGTGTGTGAAACGTGAACAGAGGGGTTGGTGGGGAAAAGTTGATGCAACTGATACTAAATCCCAGATATGGGGATTTGAAAGAACCTCAGCCAATTCTGATCCTTCTCCAGTTTCCCTTTGTTCAGATGTTCGTGGCACAGTTCAAGTAGCTTCACACCTCAACCTCCCCTCTGTATCTGATGCTCAGAGTACGTGAGAGAAGAATGACTGTGCAAGTCTGTGTGTTTCTATAGTCCATGTTTACTTATTGTAAATACCATTTTTATACTTAACATCTATTATGTATGTGATTTGTATAATGTACTTTATTTCTGCTACAACTTCATGAAGTTTAAACTTATTCTAATTTTGAACAAAACAACAACAAAAAAAGGACCAACAAATGTAAAGTGGTAAACAAAAGACTTTGGAAATTGTAGGTCAAGCTGGTTTAAACAAGTATTTACAGTTTCTTCCATCACAGTTACTGATGTGACTGTACAATGTTACAGGTGCGATATAAGCTTCATTAATGTCGAGTTCTTCACTCTGGTTAAAAAAAAAAATCTTAAATTTATTTAATAAAAATTTTACTTGCTGAGTAACTGGGGTTTTACTTCATGTGTTAGTTGCACCATCAAAGGCCTGGCACGAGGAAAGTCTGTTTCCATTCAGCAGTTCATCTGTGCAGTAAGTTAAAAAGCATTTCATGGGGCTGGGGTGGTGGATGGTAGAGCCTGAGACCTGCAGAATAAAACCTTGTCTTAACTCTGAACAGACAGTCTCTCTGTGTCTCTAAGGTGGCTGTCTGTGGATTTTTATTCCAGTCTTCAGCAAGTTTATTGTGTTAGCCAAATTGCAAGAAATAAGTTCAGCAGCCAATCTCCCAGCGCACTAAACAAACCAGTCACAGCTTGTGTGCAGATACGTCTTTTAAGAACTCCCGTATACTCTACTCACACCCAAGAGAACAAAACTAGTTCTCTCAACAAGACCTTGCTAAAAACCAAATCAATCATGAGCCAGAGCCTAGCCTAGGCACAGAACCAGGAAAGCTGCCCTGAAGATGAGGAACATGCCTTGGGTCCGTAGAGAACCATTTGCCATGGTTCAGGCCCCCTTCTAGGAAAGCACGAGTTTCCCTGGGACTTTCTTTTGCTTTGAAACACCTATGTAATGGTACTGCAGAAAAGCAGAATATAAGCAGAGACTGAAATCTAGGACTACCTCAATTTTTGACGCCTTCTTGTCTCTACACCAACACAGATCTGCAGTGACTGAGCCAAGACGTATATGGGAAACTGTCAAAGAGCAAGCAGGTGTGTATTTTAGACTGCGAGAGTTCAAACCCCAGTGTGAATTGTGGTATGTTCTTATTTCCACACAGCTCCATAGAAAGCTTTGTCATGTCAAAAATCCAGTCCATGGCAAGGAAAGAGGAAGGAAAACACAGAGCTGATGCCTGTTTCTATGCTGAAAAAATGTACTTGCAATGAAAAAAATTATGAATGTACTTGTGACAACATTACCAGCAATAAGAATGAGAATTCAAGCTGCAGTGACATCTCTTGCAGGCACACAAGTTTTTATGTTTAGCGTGGAACAAGCATGCACTTAAGTCTAGCACCTAGCTGTTGACAGAGGAGAGAAGAAGGGCATGCAGTGACCCTTTCTCAGGAAATCGCCTCTCTCCATCAACCTGCCTTCCCCGCTACCCCCCCCCCCCCCAACTTTGAAAAGACCAGCTATAATTGAAGAAAGCTTACAATTGGCAAGGCTCTGTGCACTCCATTTTAGTTCTGTTTCTCTTCAACAAGACTGTTTTTTTGGTGTTGTTGGTTTTTTTGTTTGTTGTTTTTTTTTTTAAAGCAATACCTGGCTCTTCCAATAAAATCCATTCTACAAAATGTTCAGCTTTCAAATACTCAGCTTTCAAAGCTACTTAAAATTCTTTCAGGATTCATGCATTGCGGACAAGAGCAACACAATAATCATCCTCACACACCAAGTAGCCCACATAGGATCTTTTATCCATTCCCAGCACAGAAAGATTTAAGCAGATTTGTTTTGTTTTTTTTTTTCCTTTAGCTGCTCGAACTTAAAGCCACAACACATATCCGTATGAATTAATGTGGTAGGGAAGAATGCTCTCTACATTCTTTCTGCTGTTCAGTGCAGGAATCATGAACCCATCTTGGCATTTACAGTAAGGAAGAACCTATTTAACAGGTGCAATCACCAAATGTCTACCAAGAGGCCTGTGCTCACAGAAGCCAGGCCAGCATCTGTCCTTCACAGAAGAAGTATCAACATGCAATACCAACACATTAAAAAAGCTTAATTAAAATAGAGATTAAAATTCCATTTATAGGAAGCAAGAACATTCACAGAATCCACAAAATAATGAAGCAGTGGAGCAGACATTCCAGGATATTCTATACAGACACAGCCAGAGCTGAAAGAAGATGCGGCAGTAAAAGCAGACAGGTGAGGCTGAAGCAGGGAAGATGGGTGGAGGGCTAAGACAGTGAACAGTGGGAAAGAGCTCTGACTGACAGGCTAAAGCAGGATGGGAGTGAGAGACCAAAAGATTCTCCTGAAAAGAGGTAAGGTTACTTTGCCACCACTGCTACTCTGCTCCTGCTTGACACCAATGGTTGAATGGGACAATTAGTGGAATGGGGATAATGTGATTAGAAGGGATGTAGGATGCGAGGAGGAGACTGAGACTAGGCATCTCTTTAACGTTAGTCTGCTGTAATTATAGTAACTTTTAAAACCTGGTCCTGGTCTTTGGGGAACAAAATCCGGAGGCAGCACACATGCTGAAGCCACCATGGGTAGAAAACCTCCTGCATGTGT